TCCATCAAAGCTCACATCTTTTTTTCCATACAGAATCACATAATTTTAGAGTTGAAAGGAACCACAAGGAGCAAAGGAACCACAACCCTCAATTCTATTTCATCTCTCAAAAGAAATCCCTACAGAATGTATAATACAAATTGCCATCTAACTACATTTCCCTCATCTTGTACTTGTTAAGGTGATTTCTCAAACCTAAGTGTAAGAATTTTTAGTTGGAATAACAATTGAGCTACTTACAACCTGTGTGACTTAGAGCATGTCATGTCATGTCACCTCATCTAGAAAATTAGGGAATTGGAGGATGTTCCAGTTCTAGTCCTTTGTGTTTGAGCTCCTTTTTCACATTGGATTTAATGTGTTCACTAGGCATCTTGCATTTGTGGTCTGTTCAGTTTTTTAAGGTGTTAACAATTTCTGCTTAAATTTTATATACTTTTAAAATGTATCAAGATATAGTGTATTGTCAAGATACACAGTTAATACATCACATCATTTATTATGTTCAACAAAGTATTGACCAGTCAAAATTTTCAAAAGGGTCCGTCTCCTATGATAGCATTAAATGAAATATATAGTTCACAGTGCTACTCTTACTTCATTAGAACATTTATAGTCTTAAGTAAGCCAGCAAAGGAAGCAGACATGGGCCTGTGTGAAACCATGTGCTTAGGGTTAAGTTAAGGTATCTTCTAAGCCAATATCAAGAGAGGGCAGACTTTAGATTACAACAATAAGATGTTTAGGGATCCTTTCAGGTAGAAAATTCAGTATTCAATTCAATTTAGCTGACATTTGTTATATGCTAAGTACTCTGCTAAGGGCTGAAGACACAAATAGAAAAATGAAAAATCCTCTGCCCTCAAGGAGCATATATTCTACTGCGAAGAAATGTATTTACACAGTAAGTCAACACAAAATACATACAAATTAATTTTAGGGAGAGTGGAGAGCACTAATAACTGGGGAGAACATGATGGAAGGACTTGCATGGGAAGAGATCCAGCACTAGATCCAGAGAAAAGGGAGATTCTGCATAAATGGTGAAGTCCTCCCACCTTCTAGAATGGAAGCATTGGTTGAGACAAAAGTGCAGAGTAAAATAGGCATGTTCTCATTGCACGACTGGTATTTGGGATGTACTCAAGGATCAGCTCACAGAATATAGCCTATTAACTCCAAACCATTTTGAGAACAATCCCAGAAGATCCTCTTAATGGTGATTGAAGATACCAGAAACCCAACAAACCATGGGTTAATGGTACCATTACAGAGTCCAGCACTGCACATGCATCACCTATAGAGGTGTGGAAGTCCGGAATTTGTCATGGTATACTTTATTACATGAGAAGCAGTGTGGCAAGATCTAGCTTCAGAGCCAGTAAGACTAGGGTTCAAGTCTCACCTCTGATATTTGTTCTCTGTGTGATCCTGGAAAAGTGACTGAATCTCTCAGTTAAATAACTGACAATTTTGTAAGACAATATTGCCAAACAGTTGCAAATCTGCAGTGGTTAGAGGGAGTTTTCTCTTGGAGAATTCCGTCTACCAATAATGTTCTAAGTCCAGCCAGATAAATAGATAAATAAATAAATTCTTATTGAATCCAACTAAATTGGAGAACTTCCCGATTGTTTCAGACATCCCAATATGCAATGTGGAGCTATTATAAAGATCTATCATGTGGTGAGGCTCCAATTGGAGGATGGATCCAAGACAACACCAGGTACCTGGTACTGCCAAAATTAAATGGTGCACCTCTTTCCACTCAGCGTAAATTATAGATTCCCCTAAAAATTACCTCCTTTTGTCCTGTTCCACCTGCTTCTTGTATGTGGTATGCAGTCCTGTGTGGTTTCACTCCATTAATGAGGCCTTGGCTGTATTCAGACTTCTTTCCAGATGGAGTTCCCGGGGCAGTGAGCCCAGCAGATGCCGAATGGGAGCATAGATACTAAGGCCTCAAACACAGCTTCCTTTCCCTTCCCTTATCATTATAGGTTTCCACTCAAAGTTTAAAATCATTCATGTTACCCTTCCTCTCCATAGTTAGTCTGGAAGGAGGGATAGGCAGCACACACTTCTTATCCTCTGTAAAAAAAAAGTCAAGACTGGTCTTACAAAACCTTAATGCAGCCAGTCCTTTTTTGGAGAAGTTAGAATGAAAAGCAAAAATCTGTTAAAGATAGATTTATAGGAAATGAGTGACCGTGTACAGTTGACTATAATGAAACTTTTTTTATAGTGCTTGGTAATATTAAAAAAAAATTTTTTTATGGTTTTGACTGAATTCCAGCATTGATATTGTAGCTTCAGCATACTTCCAGAAACCAAATTTATAGGATATCAGATTTTATTTTCCCATGTGTAATAGGCATCTAGGTGGGATAAGACCTAGAGAAATTTAGGTTATGGACATATTATACTTATACCAACTTGCTTCCAGTAGGACAACGCTTCTCATGGTGACTCCAGCTTGGGGAACAAAAAACAAAACCACGTCCCCCAGATTAGCTAAGTTTGGAGAAATTCTGTTAGCTCCTGTTCCTGCCCCTGTCTGAATTAGAAGAAAGCTAGGTTTGCAAAGGCAGCAAACCAAGTATTTAGGGCACTGAGACTGAACCTGTAATCGTTCAAGGCATTTTGTTTCATTTCAGGGAAAGAAAAACTCATTCCTCAAGTGCTTTCAGTTCACATTACAATCTCTTCTGAACTCAATCATTCAGGAGAGAGAAAACTTACATCTGTTTTTAATGATAACTACCTGCTAAAATGCAGTCTTTGGTCTCACAGTCAAGTAGGAATTAAGCCTTCCTCGATCTAAGCAACTGCCTCGATGTCCTTCACCCAAAGTGATCCCAGCAGGCTTCAACATTAAAGAGAAGCCTCTCTCTTTAATTGGACACTACTAAAAATTCCTATGACCTTTTGATGACATGTTAACAGATGTTACCATTTAAAAAAAAAAAAGGAGAAAAGATGAGATGTGTGCAAGTGTTAGAACAAAGAATTTAGTCAGAGACAAGATACCATTGCGGACAGGTTAGCTATGCTGAAGCACAGGTTAACTTGGTTAGCTTGTGGTACTAATGATGGCGGGGCAATAGAATTGAAGTCCTTCCAAGTAAATTAGGTTGCCACTAAGCGAATAAATCCACCACTTTTTTCCTGTTGTGTGATGAAACTATGATAGCTATCCACCAGCAACTCCTCTCCTCCCTACTGCTTTGGCATAGGGACCTCTCGTAAATCTAGCTGCCTTCCTGAAAACCCACTGAGAGCTCGATGAGTCCAGTTTACAAATGAGAAAACTGTGGCCTAGAGAGTTTAAGTGACTTGCAGGGAGGGTCCAACAACTTCCTAGTTTATGAGGTAGGATTCAAATACAGGCCTTCCTAATTCCAAATTTGGCCCTCTGTCCACTGTATCATGCTGCCTCTTTTGCTAAGCTTTGGCTTCTCCTTTTTCCCTGATTGGCAGGAAACGGGTTCAAAAGTTGTGAGATTCCCTGGCCTTTTCTAGACCTTTCCAGCCCTTTCAGTACCCATAGCTAGACCCAGCAAGAGACAGACATATGTTTAAGTGATTTCCTATCTTCTCCATCATCCTCTTTAGCTGTCTTATGTCTCAGTTGGTATTGATCATTGCTCACTGAACAAAGTTATCTCCGTGGGATCATCTGGCATTTTGCATGAACTTGGCATGTGTATGGGAGACACCTTTATAGAAGACAGCCTTCCAGGCTAAATTTTGTTCTACTAAATCCAGTACTGTATAATTATTGGAGTTTTTTTGCATACATTTTTGAGGGGTTTTAGATGCTAAGGGAGGCTGAGAGAAAAAGATAATCAACAAAAAGCAAATAGAGTAGAACTAATTCATTGAGTCAATAACAAGCATTTATTAAGCACTTCCTGTGTGCTAGGCACTGTGGTAAATACTGGGGATACAAATAGAAGCAAAAAGAAAGACAGTCTCTGCCCTCAAAGAACTTATAATGTTCTAATGGAGGAAGATAACATATTGAAGGAAGCTGAAACAGAAGGGAGGAAAAGTACCTATTGGGGTGTTGTGGAGAAGGAAGTTTGGAGAGTCCAGAGCAGGGCCAAGAGAGAATTAAAGGAGTAAACAGGACTGCTTGAAGCCCTGCCTGAAAATGGTGATTTCAAGAGCAAACAACCAATCAGAAGAAGAAGCCACAAAGGTAGATGGATCTTCCAGCTTGAGAAAAGGTGGGATCACCCAGGATGAGATTTCTGAGGGGTGATGGCAAAGGCGGTTTCCAGGACAAGGAGACTGGTGGGGATCATAGTGGTGAAGAGAACAAGAGAACTGAATATTAACTCATTCAATGTAGAAATATGTAACATACGTGTCATTGGAAATTATTGTAGATTAAAAGTTTAGTTTAAATCACTAAGGTTCTTTGGGGGGAATTAATAGTTTTTAATAAGTCTTTCCCCAACTCTTCCTTCTGCCCATCTTTCAAGACCCAGGTGAAAGCCTGCCTCTTCTGGAAAGATTTCCCTGGACTTCCTAGGTGAAATATTCCTCAACTAATCTCATAGCCCTTTGCATTTTTATTATTAATTTAATATATTCTAGTTTGTGTTATAATTATTTGTGTATTTGCTTTATACTTTTATACTCAATTGTAAGCTTCTTAAGGGCAAACTATATCTTGTTTATATTTTCATTAGTAATTATATTATTTTATATAATAATACATTATGTAGTAAAAATAATATTAATTATAGTAGTTGGCCATTTATAATTAGATATAATTATTATTGTTTATTTCTGTACTTTCCCCAATACATTGCCATATACATAGTAGGCACTTAAAAAGGATTATTGAATGAATAAACTATTCATTTGTGTTTATTTCCAAGGTACTCTGGATAGTGAAAATATTGTTTGTACCTACTGATTATTAACACATTTTGTTACCTTAATCACTAAAACAATCTCTGAGTAATGGGAATACATTCTATTTTTAGGTCATCATTGAGTGGTCTCCTTACATCGTCATTTCGTCAACACCAAGAGTCATTAGCAGCAGAAAGAGAGAGGCGACGGCAGGAGAGAGAAGAGAGGTTGCAAAGGATAGAACGGGAAGAAAGAAACAAATTCAAGTAAGAAAGAGTTTTGAGATACATGACTTGATACCTTGAAAATTAGACCAGTAAATAGTCGCTACAAATTCCAATACAATTATAAGTGAACATGTTATAATAGTAATACTAGTGCCTTGAATTCATATAAATAAATGCTTTAAGGTTTGCAAAACACTTTACTAAAATTATCTCATTTGAACCTCAAAACAGTCCTATGAGATAGATACTATTATTGCCCCATTTTATGGATGAAGAAACCAAGGCTGAAAGAGATTGAGTGATTTGGCTAGGGTCACATAGCCAGTAAGTGTCATGAGACAGGACTCAAACCTGTCTTTATGTCCTACACTGTGGATGCTACACCATGTTTTTACATGAGGGACAATATGATAAACTGGAAAGAATCCTGAATTGGGAGTCAGGATCTGGGTTCAGCTCCAAATTTGATCTGGCCTACCTCGTAAACTTGCACAAGTCATTGAAACACTCTGTACCTCTGTTTCCTCATCTGTAAATTAAAGGTTTAGATGACATTTGAAATCCCCTCCATCTTTAAAATTATGATTCTATGAATAGTTTCCAGTTGAGGTTGTATCTGTATGACCAAGTTAAAATCAGAGTATTTGGATATCAGATAATCTGTCTCTAAGTAGGCTTTGTTATTGAATGTTATAGAATCTTTCATAGAAATAGTCATAGAATGCTACGACTGTAAGGTACTTTTGAGATAGTTCAATCTCATTTTATAGATGAGTGAACTTAAATGATTTGCCCAAGGTCAGTCACATACTACTTTCTTTGGCAGAAGTGCCAGGCTTTGAACCCAGTTTCCTGACACTGAATCCAGGGCATTTTCCACTCTGCTTCCCTGTCCCTCACATAACTATTTACAGATGTTCCACACTTTTCATACCCATTGCCTAAAAGGGTCTTTCCTCAGATTATCTTTGCCACATGAAGTGTTGCCATAAAGTGACAACTGAGGAAATGATCAGAATCCAATTGAAATCTGATTAGCGCAGTTGTAAAGTTACTTAAATATAATTATCCACCTGGAAATCTGAAATTCTATAAGATAGTAAAATGTCCATCTTGGTTACCATATAAGTAGAAGGAGAAAAATGATCTTGCAATTTTTGTGGCTATTTTTAATGTGTTTTGTCAAAAGCCATATTCTTGTGGTTCTTTCAAGATCCATCACTGTAGTGTGTATGTATATAGACTTAGTTATTAAATTTCACCTGAGTAATAATAATAATCATAATAGTAGCAATCTTCTCAAAGCTCAATCCATTTCCGATTCTGTGAGGGGGGAAGAATACCAGTAGCATGATAGGAGAATGTCAGTCAGATTGATGTCTAGTAGAGACTTCATGTTTCTGGGTATTACTAAGGGAGGTAAGCACCCCCCCAGCAGAAACCATGAAATACTGGTAACTTGGGGTCCAGTAATATTGCCAATTGGGTTAGCACCTAGTCAGTATGATAGAACTGTTCCTAAGAGTCAAAGAAAATAGAAACACTAGCATATGGTTATAAGCCAGCCCTATTCAAAACCATCATGATGATATGCTTTGAGTAAGTGGTACCTCTGTGTTTTGAAACAGAAAGAAGACAGGCTGTACTGGGGGAGAAAAAACAGAAATACCTATACCCCATCTGCTGGAAATGTTTCAGTGTGGATGGCACTGACCACTAAAGCAAGCAAATTAGCAGTGCATAAGAAAAGGCCTGGCAATGTGAATGCTTCCATCATGTACCAGTGTAATGTTAATGAAACTGAAAACAGATCTTTCCAGTTATAGGCAAGGGCTTGGGCAAATCATTTAACCACTGTCAAGGACTGCTGCTTTTTTGTCAACTAACCCTCAGCTCCAATAGCAGACAGTAGTATATTGTAAACCAATGCAAGGCAATTGTAAGAAATATCTTTATCCTTAAGTCTAGATTAGATAACATAAGAGCTACAATATGGAAAGGGAAAATACTGAAGAACCTGACGTCAATGAAAAACTTAACACAAACTCCTGAAATTTTAGATACTAACAAAATAGATAACAAAAGTAATACCAGTATCAAATGATTTTGAAAAGGAGATGAACATACTTGGACTGGAATTTCAAAAAAGCACTTTTTGAGTTTGACAACATAAATCCAACTAGCCAATAAACTGTATCAAAAAAGAGTAACTCAAAAGCCAATTTGCTATAGCCACCATGAGTGAATGAATTCTCACAAAAATTTTGATAGAAAAAATAAAAATGTTTCAAGATAAGCATACAACTATATATATGTATGTGTATATATGTGTATATAGGGTTGGGTGTATGTGTGTGTGTATAAAAGCAGCAATCACCAATATAAGAATCATAGGGGGAGGGGCAGCTAGATGGCACAGTGGATAGAGCAGTGGCCCTGAAGTCAGTAGGACCTGAGTTCGAATCCAGCCTCAGACCAAACACTTGACACGTACTACCTGTGTGACCCTGGGCAATTGCCAAAAAAAAAAAAAAAAGAATCATAGGAGGAAAGATGGTGCTATAAAGAAATACTCCTAAGGATAGGTGCGAAACAGCACCATGGAAGGAACAGCTTGCAAAAGCTATTGAGGAACTAAAGATATTGGAAGATTTCTTTAATATCTAGCTGATACACTCAGTAGAAAAATTGAATGCTATATAACCTGATTCAAGACAAAAAAAAAGCAACAGGAGGAATGGAATCTGGAATCATTTATCAGTGTCAGATTAGAGGTATCAGTGAACTCAGTTATTCCATATAAGTGAAATTAAACAGTGTGCAGTGTGGAGTTGGAAATTGGTGCCCTTTTACAAGGATTTTAAAGAGTTATATTTGAAGGTGGGAAGAAAATTGAGAAGAAGAAGATTTGAAGAAGATTGAGATTGGGAGGTGCTAAACGCTAAATTGTATGCTCCCCTGGATGGGACATGGGTCCCTTATTTCTCAGAGTCAGAATTAGAGCGAAAGAAATGATGATGATGATGATGGATAAATACATCACTTGGGAAAAAATCTGAGTTTAAAGAACTGTTGATGGTGACTCAGCCTAGAGACAGGGACCTCCTTGTTGTTCTTTGCATTACATTACACTCCATCTCCCTCCTGCATGCCTTTTCATTGGGTGTCCTCCATTCCTGGAATGCTTTACATCCTCACCTGGACGTCCTGTGTTCTCTGACATCCTTCAAGACTCAGCTTGTCTCCTACATCTTGCAAATGGCCTTTCCAGCCTTCTCTGTCCCACCTCCAGTGCCTTCCTTCTGAGGTTATCATCCATTTACATTGTATGTGTATATATCTTACCTGTGTATTACTGTGTGTATATATCTTTTATCTACCTATTTATTTATATGTTGTCTCCCTCCCAGCCCCTTAGGATGTGAACTCCTTGAAGAGAATGACTGTTTTTGCCTTCCCTGGTATCCCCAGTGCTTAGCACAGTGCCTGATGCATACTAAGTGTTTAATAAAGGCTTGTTGACTGACAAGCTCAACAAGGGAGAGAGACATGATGATGGTCATCAAACATGTCAAGAGTTGGCCCATGGAAAAAATAATAATTAGACTTGTTCTGCATAACCCCAGAAAGCCAAACAAGGACCAACTAGTTGAATTTACAAGGGGGCATATTTCATCTCAATATGATAAACAAGTGCGGTAGAAACAGTTCTGAATTTGGAGTAAGTTGCCCTGGGTTTGAATCCTGAGCTGTATCTCACTACTGGAGCCAGATAGCTTGGGAGGATAGTGTAAGGCTGTTGACTTTGTACAGCCCTCCCTCACTTAAATCCAATTCACTCGCATTCCTACTGAAGTAATTAAAATGGAATGGGGAAAGCAAGTTGAGAATCAAAATCTAACTTTCTCATATAGAAACATCTGTCTGAATTGTCTGAACCTGCCAGCATTTCCTTGGCCTTCTTAGTTATTTAAAGACACATAAATAGATCATGGAAAAATCATCCTCTTCTGGGGGGGGGGAGTTTGGATCATCAGGATAAACCACAGGCATCTGGGAATTACAGTTCCTGTAATTCCTTAGAAAAAGTCTGGTTAAGTGAAAAAATCAATTTTTAAAAAAAGAGCTATGGGGGCAGCTAGGTGGCACAGTAGATAGAGCACCGGCCCTGGAGTCAGGAGGACCTGAGTTCAAATCCGGCCTCATATGCATAACACTCATTAGCTGTGTGACTCTGGGCAAGTCACTTAGCCCCAATTCACACACACACACACACACACACACACACACACACACACACACACAGCTATGAACACTTAGAAAGTAATTGGGATCCCCAGGTCATTTCTTTTATTAGGTAGCTAAGTGGAGTAGTATATATAATAGTAGACTTGGATTCAATAATACCTGAATTTAAATTCTCCCTCAAATACTTACTAGCTGTGTGGCCTTGGACAAGTCACTTAACCTCAACATCAGTTTCCTCAGCTGCAAAACAGGGATAATAATATCATCTACCTTAGAGAATTATTGTGGGGATCAAACATGGTAGAATGTGATAGCATATGTAAAGCACTTTGCAAACCTTACAGCTCTTTATAAATGCCAGCTCTTATTCATATATTCCTATTTCCACTTGTGTCTAATCATTACACTGAGGTAAGATGCTGATAGTACTTGAATTTTTTGTACTGAAAAGCCCAAGTTTGTATCTGCTTATAAGAATGTGTCAAGATATGTGAAAGGATTTGCAAACTTTAAACCATTATGTAAATGCTATTATTATTATTTATCATCATTATTGTTGGTATTATTATTATTGCTATTTTGTGATAGGGACAAAGGAAGGATCCAGACCTAGGAAAGTTTGAAACAGGAGAGAATGCTTTTCCATCTACAACTGTTTTCTATTACTAATAAGAAGACTTTCATTTTTTTCTGTTAGCTGTTTCTGTATCATTTGCTGATCATCTAATGCTTTCATTTTTCCTATCTTTTATAAAAAAAAATTTTCTTCGGTATGCTTCCATTAGCCAAGA